GGAAGTTGGTGAAATCATTCAAATTGGCTTTGCAAAGCATCTTTTTGACATGATACAAATGAACATTCCTTTCAAAGCAAAAATTTCAACTATTTCTGCTCTCGGACTCCTTGTTGAATGTTCGAATAAAGAAGAAATGAAATTCTTTATCGAAAATGGCTTTATTAATGTTATTAGTGATTTTATTGATGATTTAATGAATGATATCCCACACCAAATAATTGACGCTTTAGAAGCAATAAATCGTTTTGGGGAAACTCAGCAAGATTGCACAGATTGGAATAGTTTGATATTTGACAATGAACCTATTGTCACAGCCCTGGAAAAGGCTGAAAACGATGAATATAGAGATCCTGAAGATTACATGATACCTCTTATTGAACATGCTACATCCCTTTTAAGTAGAAGATATAATGAGTATCTTCCTGAGAATGATGCAGTCTAGTCAATAAATGAATAATAAAAAATGAAGTTTCTTTACTAAAGTTTATCCAAAATCAGGAATAGAAAAGTTTCTGTTACAAATGATCGATTTTTGTTATTGTTTTGATAGCCATCATATATGAATAATCTAGAGTAAACTCTCTATTTGTTAATAAAAAAACACGTTATAAATTTGATATTTTTTTTTCCACAAAAATTTCTAAACGTAAACAACAATTAATCACTTCAAATGAAGAAAAAAGGTGGAACTACTAAAAAAAGGACAACTATTACTACAACTAAAACTACTACTAAAAAATCTTCGACTAATCAACCAAATAATAATAAAGCATCATCTAATTCTACAACTCAATATCAAGATATGTGGGAAGATCCTGTTTTTGTAAGCCGTCAAAAAGAAATTACTCAACTTTCTCATGATTTCTCCAAAGCTATCGACTTACTAGTTGTAGACAAGCCTTTGACAGTTGACCCAGCTTTACTTGATAATTCAGAATACGATTCATCCGACTATTTTGATGAAGAAGAAGAAGAAGGAATAATTAAAACTCAGAAAGTTGGATATAAAATTCAAGAACAGGCTCTTTTATTAATGTATGAAATTGATCAAATGAAAAAAGATACTTACCGCCTAATTTCATGGTTTCGACCAAAAGCAGTTAAACATAATCAAAAATTAATGAAAATGAAAAATGGACTTGAATCTCTGATTGATTATTTAGACTCACTTAGAATGAGAGCTGAAGGTTTGATATCTGTTTAATAAGAAAACACAATATATAGTTTAATGTTTTGTCACGTCAGTATATTAAAAATGTATGATATTTTGAACAAATAGCAAAATACCTTTTAATTTGACAAAATGTTTTTTTACACTGAAAAACGATTGATATTTATATCGGTTGAGCCTTTTTTAGCATATGATTTATTGATAAATTCGATAAAAAAAATAAAATGATTTAAGTATCTATCGAACCTCTCATTGCGCATGCACTCTGGACAACTTTTTTTAAAAAAAAATCAGGTTAAATGCGTAACAAATGTCATTTTTTTTTAAAGACTAACGTAAGCAAATCTTCCTACTTTGGATTTTTAATTACAATTTTAAAGAATTGAAAAAGCTGACCATATTTGAATTTAAATTCAATGGTTTATTCTAACATCAATGAATAGTGAATTAATATATACTCTATTAGCCAAAGTTTCTGAAATACCTGGAAATAGTGTCACATATTTATCCCCTCAATCGTTTAATGTCGCAATGTCACAAAATAATCAATCTATTACATTATCTTTTTTTATTCCAACAAAATTTCCCGAGGTTCCTCCATTGTGCTCTGTTGTTGATTCAACAAATATCACTGATGCTGTGTCGTCTGAAATCGAATTGCGTATTTCGGAAATATGCATATTTGTCAGAAACCAAAAAAATATATTTTTATTAATAACACAAGAAGTTCGATCAATTCTTTGGAAGGAAAGTGACTCAAATGTCGAAGATGTTCGTTTTCCGGATTCAATAGAAACTTCTCGCCTTATTGTTGAAACAACGTTAAACCAAAAAATTAGCGACGAATGGATAAGGAAAAGGGCCAAGAATTTCCTAGATCATCCATCATTTGAGCAAGATAAAAGAACCAGATATTATTTATTAATTTATTGTTTTTTCAGAGCTTGCAAAGGAGACTATAGTCTTGAAGAATGTGCTGATCTATTAATAAAAGAATTCCGTGTAATTGATCCGCCATGTCCTCCTCTTCAATCAATTCCAGATGTTATTTCAAAATTGCCTGATTATTTTCAAGAATTATTTAAAACAACAGGATCTGATGAAATTTCTCAAACGATGTCATTTTTTAATGATTTTAATGTTATTTCTCTGTGTGCGCCATCTGTCGTTCGGGCTCGAAATAGAGTTGATAGGAGAATTTATGCTATAAAAGTTATTCATTTAAACCAGAAAACATCTACTTTGCCCCCGGGAATTGGCAAGATAACTCATCTCCAGCATAGATATGTAGTTAGGTATTATAATTATTGGATAAGTGACTGTGATGAAAATGAATCACGTGCAATTTCTGATGCTTTTTGCTTATCTCCGCCTATTAAAGAGCAAGCCAACTTTCTCTTTGTCCAGATGGACTATTTAACCGGTCGACCGTTGTCAGAAATGCTTCATGATCCCCATTTCTTTGAATGTAGTGGTCTCCAATGGAGGGTAACCCAGCAGGTGTTAGAAGCATTGTGCTATCTCCACTCTCAAGATTTTGTTCATAATTCAATGACTCCAACAAATATAATAATTGATGGAGAAAATGCCAAAATTGGTGATTTTAGTGATAGAACTAAACAAATTCCATTTCCTTATTGGGACTCTCGAACAGTTCGTGATAAAAAGAGTGATATGTTTGCATTTGGAGTTGTTTTTTTCGAAATGTGGCATCCTTTCACATCAGAAGATGAAAGATTAAAAATTTTAACAGCTCTAGTCAAAAAAGGTGAAGTTCCCGAACAATGGAAATCTGTTTTCCCACTCCAAGCTAAAATTGTATCACTTTTAATGCAACCTGAAAATAATCGTCCAATGGCTAAAGAATTACTTCCTTTAATTCCAGCTAAAATTGTCGAAAAGGAAGAACTTCATGATCTTGATCAATTAACAAGTGCTATTTCAACCGGAAATATTCAATTAAAATTGCATGCTCCTGAAGTTTTGGAATCACTTTTTATGGAATCTCGGAGACTTCCATTCAAACTGACTGATTTTAATAATCCAAGATTATCTCATCTAAAGAAAAATTTCATGAATTTAAATCTTATGTATAATATGAGCATCATTAACAATAGCCAAAGTAAAAATGAATCCCAATCAAATTCTATTATCGGTTCTAATAATATAATTGGATCAATCACTTCCAATAGCCAAAGCCTTTCTAGCAGCTTGAGCCCATCGCCATTGTCATCAGAAGATGATTCTTTAATGACAATGATGAACATATGCGAACAAATCAGGAGCTTTGAAACTTTTATAATTTTGACTTTTTTCAAAACAGCTCAGTCATTTGGCGCTCTTTACTACCAATCAAGCATAGTTACACAATTGACAAATGATAACAACGCTGTTGTCGTTATGTCAAACGATGGCGTTCTTCATGAGCTTCAATCAAGCTGTACATCATCTTTCAAAAGGATGATTCAAAATTGCCAAGTCCGAAATTCATTTAAATCATGCACTCGTCTTTCTAGATTACGTGAGTCAAAGCGAAGTTTAGATCATGTGTATGAAGATGATGTATTATGTTTTAATACGACAAATAAGCATAAAAGTATTTATAACTACTTTGAGCATATTCAATTTATTATACAATATGGTCTTGAAGCCTTCATTTCCAATCCTCACACTGGATACAAACCAGTTATCAAAATTTGTCATGCGGGTTTGACCAATTGGCTAATCAACCATTACAGAAACAAAAACAAACCATTCAAAAACCACAAAAATATTGATGCTGACGTATTCATGAAAATGGTCAAGCAAACCATTGATAAAAAAGTAGATTCAAATATTAATGTAGAAGAAATTCAAAATTATATAAATGATCTTAACCAGATAGTCTTGTTCATAAAAAGTACTGGATCTTGTCATTCTCAGAACTTTGATTGGCCAATTGTCATGACTTTTTCTGTAGAAACAGATCCAGCCTTTCTGATCATGTTATCTATCTCAAACACTGTTGTTGCTTATACGCAAACTGTTATCAATAAAAGTGCCAATTCTGCTTCAGCAGTTCCATCATCATCAACTTTAAACAATCCTTCAGAAAATGAACGAGAAGCCTACAAAATTCCTATTATTACATCTACACGAGTTTTGCTTATGAATGCTTTGTCTGTTTTGAAAATTAACAGCAAAGAAACCATTTATGATAAAAATGAAAATCTTTTGATGAAAAGTTACAAACCAAATTCAAAAGAAGTTTTTATTATAATAGTTTGTCAGCCTTTCTCGTCAACACAGACTTTTTATGACATAAATAGAGAAGTTTATCCTGGAAAAGAATGGAATAGATCATTCGTACAAATGTGTCCAGTTGCCAAACTTTTAAGAGAAAATGGCGTTGCTGTTTCTTTTGCATCCAATGATGGAAAAGCAGTTGAGTATCATTATGTAAATGCTACTTTGTCTTTTACACCTGTCGTAATCGTTGCCTATGTCGATGAAAGAAATAAAATCACTTTGAGATTCTCCACTTTTTCAAATATGACAAAAATGTTAGAAAATCTGATTTTAAGTGGCAGAGATTTCAAAAGAAGGATAACTATACAATATAATGCAAATCTAAAAAATGGAAAGCATTGAGTTTTTAATTTGTCAAATAGCGGATAAAATATATATTATTATAATATTATTATTTAAACTATATCATTATAGATAAATATTTCTTTTTGATAAATAGGGGAATATAAGAAATAAATATTTTGGAAAATCATTGAAATTGAAACCAAATATTCATTTTATAATTGTTTTGTATAAAATATTCAATTTGTAATTATAAGTCTCAGTATTATAACGGTTAGAATAGATCCTTCACACGGATCAGGTGGCGGTTCGATTCCGCCCTGGGACATTTTTTTATTATCATTCACTTCTTTTTTTAGTGGCTGAATTTAAAAAACAGGCTATATTTTAAATTGTTTATTGCAAAATCTATTTAATTACAAAATCATGGTAATAGAGAAGTGTATTTGGTTATAATTTCATTTGATAATATTTTTGATAAAGAAGAACCCGAATAATATATTTCAATAAGGTGCCGAGGTTGGATCCGTGCAGATTCACTCAACGAAAAGTTTGGATTTGCTAAAGATAGGCATTCTTGTAAAATCTGAAAGATAAATAAAAAAAGGTTTTCCTGAAGAGTGTTAGCAACATCTTTATCTAGCTTCAACTTAGCTGAATTCATGTATAAAATAAATCTAATTCTTTCATGTAGTTGAATCACCGAAGGCAAATGGGTTAATTCATTTACTGTGAAAGTTTTAAAATCAGAATTTCCAGGTTTTGGCATTGGTGGCATGGCTCTTTCAACAATTTCTGGCTTTCGTTGTGAAATCACTACGCCAGGGGGAGGAATAGAAGAAAAATGTGCATTAAATAGAATTGCCCTAATCATCTCGTTGTGTAAAAGTCTTAATTCATTTGTGAAAAGAAGACGTTCCATCTTTTTGTCAAAATCTTCTTTTGAAACCTCTTTATGAAGAAAAGCTACAAGTGTTGCCCAATATTCTGGATTTTTGACTTCCTTTAAAATCTTATTTTTAATTGCGCAAACATCTTTACGATTATTGTATATTAACGATTTATTGTTGATTCGATATTTTTTAATAGGATCTTGAGTAGATAGCATATATACACTTTTCATTAATTATTTTATTTTTAAAAATGTTAACATATTAGATAAAAAACGTTATTTTACATTGCATTATAAAAATACATTCCATTTATAAAATACAATTATTTTCGAATTCATATCATATAATCAGTTCAAAAGCACAGCATGGAAATGGAAATGCAAAGCTTCGGAATGTTTCTTAAACCAAAAAAAAAGAATATTAATATTGGACCAATTATTCACACAAAATCAATTTTATATTTTATTCATCATATGACAGAGTTCCACGTTACTTTTCCAGATATACAAATTAATACTGGATTATTTGATCTAATAAAAAATATAAAAAATATAAAACCTTTAAAACCAGAGATTAAAATTGATGATGTTCATATTGCTTGCCAGATCGGCAGTGGTAAGTTTTCAGATGTTTTTTTAGCTATTGTTGGGCCAGATTGCTATGCTCTCAAAATTTTTAAGCCTTATTATCATCATCGAGTTGAGGAAGAAAGAAATACACTACTTTTATTAACAAAATACGGGGTTCCAAATATTCCACGACTAATTTCAACATTTTCAGTTACAGAATCACGTCGAGAAGCATTCTTAATGGATTTGATGTATGAGCATTACAATATTAATAAAATTCGTGAATTGACAATAGATGTCAAGATTGCAATAATATACAAAATATTTCTTTCACTTAAAAGAGCGAATGAAGCAGGAATTATACATGGAAACATATGTCCAAGTAATATTCTCATTGATTCAAGCCTAGAACAATTTAAATCAAATAAAAAAATTGATCTCAAGCTCCTTGTAAATCTTTTAATTGTTGGTTGGAACATCTCCATTCGAAATCAAGATAGAACAATGTTTCAAAGAATTAGTTCTAATAAATCTGTTTCTATTCAATATACAATTGATCATAAAGATTACAAGATTTGGGGCGGGGATTTAGCATTTAAAGCTCCAGAGCTTTTAGTTCATAAAAAGATGATCACAAGTAAAGTTGATGTTTGGAGTGTTGGCTGCCTTTTTGCTTATTTTTTACTCGGTGAAAAAGAGAAATTATGGGATGAAAGTGAAAAAGGTTCTAGTCTTCCAGAAAATTTTGAACAACTTCGAAAAATTGCGCTTAAAAAAGGTCCTGATGATATTCTTAAATCATGCAAAGAATTTATCCCAGCTGTACATATTGGTTCATTCAGCTCAATTAGCCAGCAAAAAAATCCTTTTGAAACTATTAGTAACAAAATCAATGATTCATTATTAGATATTATAGAAAAAACATTTTATAGCGGTAATGAAATTAATCATGACCTACTTGATAAAAATAGTAACAAAGAATACTGGGAAAAAATTTATAAAGAAATCTGCAAAAAACCAGAAACCTCTGAAAACCCAGAAATCTCTGTTAATGATGATGAGAATATTAGACAATTGAAATTATCAAAAAATGCTTTATATAAAAATTTGAATAATTTAATACAGCAATGCATTTGTGTTTCTGAATTTACTAGATTAAACACAGCAAACGCGCTTGAAGAAATAACAAGAATCCGTGATAGTTTAAATGAATTTCAGAATTCACTGCTTAAATTAAAGAAACAAAATGAATGAAAAGCTTAATATCTTAAAAATATTATTAAATATAATATTAAATAATTTTCAATGTACAATAAGCCAATGGTCAAGAAACTACCTCAAGAATATCCACTATTTGAAACAATCATGCATTTATGTTTCCTTATTTCAAAATAAAGTGTAATCCAAAAAGCTAGTGGCAACTTTTTCAATAATCTTATAAAAAGTTGAATGCTGTCAAATTTGTATAATTAAAATTTTGATGTAAAGTTTTTATTATATTACATGAATAATATTTTATTCATTTCTCGTGTTTTTCGTTTTCATTTGCATCTGAAATTAATTTGGCTAGTGGATGCTCTGACTGTTTTGTTTCTTCTTTCAAAGCTTCAAATTCATCATTCCAGCCTAACTTATTAATTAATTCAAGACAATTTTCTTGCAAATCTCCACCAATGAAAGAGTCTTTGTCCTCAAAATCAAAGATTCCGGTGTAATCAACCATGCCAAAAGTAAATACATTTTTGACACTATCCCATATTTTTTTCGCTTTTCCGCCTTTTTCCTTCACTTTTTCCTTGTTGATCAAAAAGCATGGAACGTCTGGCTTTAAATATTGTGGGAGGCTGCAAACAGGTTCAACTTGAAGAGATGTACCGCAAACAATTAAAAGATCGCATTTTGGAAAATCATTTGAATAATTAAAATATGATTCAGGCAAATGTTCGCCAAAGAAAACAACATCGGGCTTTACATGGTCTTTTTGACAGAATGGACATTTAGGAACAACAACTTTTGTATAATCGTTGATGTCTTGAGCAATATTTGGTTGAATTGCATTAATACAATATGATATTGTCACTTCTTTGCCGCAATCCAAGCAATGGCATGGAGAGAGAACTCCATGGCAGTTAACTAATTTATCGTGTGATAATCCGGCTACGCTCTCGAGATCATCAATATTTTGAGTATAGTTTCTGAGAAGTATTCCGTGTCTTTCCAATAATGTTAAAAAGTAATGATATGTTGTTGGTTTAGGCCAATCAGCTCGAGGCCATAAACGTCCAAAGATCCACCAGAAGGGGCGTGGATCTTTCTTAAAAGTACTCATTTCGAAAACAAAAGTTGGAGACCTCATTTCCAAATGTTTCATAGATTGAAGGGATGCATATAATCCAATTGATGGCGAACGAAAATCAGGAATACCTGCAGCAACAGAACACCCTGCTCCACTTAAAACAATAATGTTTTTTTTCTCTCCGCTTTTAATAAAATCAACAAGCCTGTCCATTTTAAAAAAAATGTTTTAATTTGAGAGTATTTTTTGTATAAAAAAAAATTTTTTTATCAAAAATTCAATTTGTTCTTCATAAATTGAAATTATGAAATAAAAATGTCTAATAATAAAGATCCCACTCTTTTAGATTTAGTTTTATGTCCTCTATGCCATTTTTTAATGTCTTCTCCATCTAGGAATCCGATGATTTTAATTAAATGTGGGCATACAGTTTGCTCGAGTTGTTTATCAAAAATATATTGCTGTCCAATATGTTACAATAAATCGATTGACGCCCAAAAAAACATTTCTGTTTCAAATTTATTAGAATTTGCATATAAATCAATAACAATTCCACCAAAATTGAATCCACTTGATATTTCAGCATTATCAAATGAAAATTCAGATTCATTTGAAGGGCAACCATCAGAAAATGGTCCCATATGTACATATTCAAAATATCCTAATACATACTTAATTCAAAACTTTTATCATTGTAAAGAATGCAAGCTAGTAGGTGATCTCGGATGTTGTGAAGCATGCGCCAAAAGATGTCATCCTGGACATCATGTATATCCTGATCCAAATAATTATCGAATTTCAACAATTTGCAATTGTGGCGCTCATACTTTAGAATCTGTAAAATGTCATTCTTGCTACCATAAGCATGAGGTTTGTACTCACGTGAAGAACGGTGACGCATTTATACAACAAGATTTTTACGCTTGTTTAACATGCAGGATTGCAGATGATTATGGAATATGTGGTCCCTGTGCAAGAAATTGCCATTATGGGCATGACCTAATCTACAAAGGAAAAGTTCAAGCGTTTTGCGATTGTCAAATTCTTTCGCATAATTGCATTTGCCAAACATAAAGTTAGTTCTATTTCTTTAAGTTGAAATAATATTATTGCATTTTGTTATTATTATATATCTGCTAAAATAAAGTTTTTATATGGTACATTTCTGTATAATGTCAAAAAAAAATTTTTTTTTTTGATTAGTTTACAAAATTAAAATATTGAAAAAGTTACTTGATGCTTTTGATGCTACTTTTATTTTTTCTTTTTATCTTACAATGCAAGTTTTTATATATTGATAAAAAGCTTTTTATCATCTAATTCATATTGTAGAGAAAGGAAGGTAATAATCTAACTGTCAATATCCAATTCTTTTTATATGAATTTGAAAATATATTTGGCTGTTTAAAATTATAAACAAATTTTCATCACATGTCTACCCCTCGTTCGCAACGTCCACAATTTACCTCTATATTAACTTCAGCATGGTCATTTTATAACCACATGTGTGCTTCGATAGGTAATGATTTTCGTGTTCATTTTCTAAATTCAAGTGGTACTGACTTGCAAA